AGAGACAGAATACGAGTGGGTTAGGGGCAGAGAGAGAGGGAGACACAGAAGCAGAAGCAGGCTCCAGGCTCTGAGCTGTCAGCACGGAGCCTGACGCGGGGCTTGAACTCATAGACCTTGAGATCATGACCTGAGCCGAAGTCAGACGCCCAACCGACTGAGCCACCCAGGCGCCCCATGATTCTCTTTTTTGACAAAGCACTACTGGCTATTGGAAATGGGCTTCTTTCCTGTGGTCACTGGCTTTATTAGAAGAGTGCCAGTCCTTGGATCCCTTTTGAATTTACCTGGAATTAGATCATTTGTAGATAAAGTTGGTAGCAACAATATGGTATAACAACAAGTGAACTGAAGACTCATTTAAAATATTGTATTATTTATAAATCCTTTGAGGAATATTCAGCACAAAATGAAATGACATGAAATAGCTTGTAATGTTCTTTACAGAAGTTTAAAATGTACAGTCTACAAAGTACCAATAGCAGTTAACAAAGAAGAACTGAGAACAGGCTTCTAATCAAGTGATCTGAGAAGTCAGCAAGCAAACTAAAGGAGATGAAATCTATGTTACAACACTTATTGAAACTCTTGAAGGCGATTTTTATTGTTTATCCACAATGTGTGAAACACAGCCGTCCTTGGAGAACTGCAGTGCCTGTTTCTTTCCTTTTTATTTTGAGGGTGCAGGAACACGCATAGGCATTTGTTTTTTAGAAATATCCACTGGAATGGCAAAAATATTTCTAGTTGCACTGTGTCTCTGAAAATGATGCATGAGTTAGCTTGGATTATGTCATTTTAATGTATTAAACCCAAGAAAAACCTAGTTTTGATGGATGAATCACCTTTTTTTAATATATAAATGTATGGCTAAAATAAAACATTGGTGGTTCTTCTGATTCCTAATATTTTAAAGCCAGATGAAAATCTGAACTAGATATTCACTGTTGGAATACACAAAGGTCATTTATTCTTCATAAATGAACACTCAGAACTACTCATGTGTCTTGAGAGTCTGACCTGATTATCTGTATCCTACATTATATGTAAGCATCTAACAAAAAGAGTTCTTGACCATGAAGTAGTCTGTTACATTGAATAGTCTTTTATTTAAGATACTAAATGATGCAAACCTAATGGATTTTTCCATGTCATGGTGTTTTCCTTTCTTTCTTTCTTTCTTTCTTTCTTTCTTTCTTTCTTTCTTTCTTTTTCTTTTTTTAATTTTAGCAGTGGTTTTACTATTTTGCTTTTCATAAATCAAATAACTATTGGTAATGTTTACTTTAAGATGTAATATGTTAAAAGGTTAAACTTATAGGTATTTGTTAAGGGCTTTTCATGTAAGGCCGAGTTTTCCTTTATTTTTAGCCTTTTCATAACATAAAAATCAATACACATGATGAATGCTTCATAAGATGCTTTGTCTTGAGTTCATGGAGAAAATATCTGAATTCACATGCTAAAGTTAGTTTACAGTAATTAAATGGGCTATAGTTTCTTAAAAACATGACACTAAAAAAATGTGTTGTTTTTTCTACTATTGATGCTTGACTGGCAGTAAGAAACAGTAGTTGTTTCTTAGTAGTTTTCCAAGCTGGCAACTTTTCTGGTAGATGAAAGAACACATTTCAACAGCCATAGTACTATTTGTTTTACCACTAATGACTGCACTATTTACCTTTTTTTTTAACAGTTGCAAAGCTTTTTAATGCGCAAAATTATAATTTAAATCTGTGATTTTTATTTACAAACATGTCTACAAAATATATCATAGATTGCATTATTTTTGTATGCACAATGCACAAAGAACTCCCATTTCTGCTTGTCAAAAGAAGGAAAGACTTGGTCCACAGTTTAATAGTTCAGTCTTGTGGATTACTGTCTTTTGGTACTGGCATTTGACTTATTACATAATCAGTGAAACTAGATGATATTGACAAAATGAGACTCCTACCTCAATAGTTCATGGAATAATAAAAGACCTAGTGTTGTGTCTAATGTTCTTCAAAAAAGTAATATCCTCATTTGGAGAGTGTCAGATATATACATATTTTGGGGATCGACTTATACAAGTTGCCCTGTAGGACTCTTCTACATATTTTTGACTGATCCATATTATTTTCAGTGGCTAGATAATTCTACCTTTTTAGAACAAGAACAGTATCTGTTAATGTAATGAACATTTGTATTATTTAGCTCCTCTGTAGACATGTATTTCTACCAAAATGTTCTTTGCACCGTAACAGATAACTTTTTCAAAATCTTATTTCATAAGCATTATTAGAAGTTGTGTAAAGGATTTGATAATTTCCCAGTCTTTAGTAAGACTGAGGGGCTGGAGCAGTTTTCAGTTTTCAAAGAGCCAACAGTTAATCTCAAATTTGAGTTTGGGACTGCTTGGCAGCGCTATTTCTTATTCAGAACCACTGATGAGGCTCTATTTTTAAACATATTAGTCTTCTGACAGAAGTCACTGTACATTGTATTGTTTCTTCCTTTCCAAAATGAGCCTTCTTTGTGACAAAAATGTACTTTGATTATTGCTATACAGATGGAGGAAAAGGTCTAATACTACCTAGCCTTAAGTGTATCTGGCACTGTTCAAATGTATTTTCTGTAACACAAACATTCTTGCAATGTTTTTCTTTTCCCCTTATAAATTGTAATTCCTGGAATACTGCTGCTTTAAAAAGTCTCAGAGTCATTTTATATGATCTAACAATGGAATATTGTAAATACACTAGTCTTACCTCTCAATAAAAGGGTACTTTTCTGTGGAAAAGAAAGAAAGAAAGAAAGAAAGAAAGAAGGAAAGAAAGAAAGAAAGGAAGGAAGGAAGGAAGGAAGGAAGGAAGGAAGAAAGGAAGAAAGAAAGAAAGAAAGGAAGAAAGAAAGAAAAATAGGGCCAGGGGAGCCCAGGTGGCTCAGTCAGTTAGGTGTCCAACTTTAGCTCAAGTCATGATCTCGCGGTTCGTGGGTTCGAGCCCCTCATCAGACTCTCTGCTGTCAGTGGAGCCTGCTTCAGATCCTCTGTCCCCCTCTCTCTCTGTCCCTCCCCAACTTGTGTACCCACACTCTTCTCAAAAATAAATTTAAAACTTAAAAAAAAACTTTAAACAAAAAATAAATAAGTAAATAAATGGAATAGGGCCAGAGGATCTACAATGCTGGGAAATAGAATATCAGCTAGGCATTTAGGGTATCTCTCTCTCTCTCTCTCTCTCTCTCTCTCTCTCTCTCTCACACACACACACACACACACACACACACACACACACACACAAGCAGTCTTTCTTTTGATTATTTAGGCAGGTACAAATTTTAATTACTACCATTTGATTGAATAAGCCCAGTCCTCCAACAACACTTTCAATTTCAGTTTCCATAGGGTAAGTTAGTAATTGTATAAAATGCAAACTTTGCTGAGAGCTCTTCAGTCCATAGGTCACTACATAAATAGCAGATGTGTGTAGTGATTAGTGACAAATCAGGTCGCTTCTTCCAAAATGTGTCACTGATTGGTCACCGAGGATCTGTTTTGTTCAGTTCACACAGAGACAGCAAAGTATGTAGTTGTATCACCTCTTTGTCTCCCGGTGATAAACCCATGTGACATTTACCAAAAAATATATATATAATAACACAAAAATAAAAGATAATCAAAAGAACAGGCCAACAGAGAAACACAAAGTGATAATGTTGGAAATGTAAATGGAGTTCTACAAGAAATAGGTGACCAAGGGGATACTGACATTGCCGTCATTCAAGAGCTTGTGGCTGGGCAGCTAGAGGAACTTGGTGAAGGTGAATTTACCAGCATAAATGAGGAAAGTGGTTGTGACAACAAGGATGAAGCTGGCCCAGAGGAAGTGACGCTGACAAAAAAGATACTTCACATTACAAGAACTCTGAGATTTCACAACATTTAAAGCGTAGGGGTGCCCGGGTGGCTCAGTCGGTTAGGCGTCCGACTTCAGCTCAGGTCATGATCTCATGGTTCATGGGTTCGTGCCCCACACCGGGCTCTGTGCTGACAGCTCAGAGCCTGGAGCCTGCTTCAGATTCTGTGTGTCTCTCTCTCTCTGCCCTTCCCCCATTCACGCTCTGTCTCTCTGTGTCTCTCAAAAATGAATAAATGTTAAAAAAAATTTTTTTTAAGTGCAAAGGACAGGGGCACCTGGGTGGCTCAGTCGGTTGAGCGTCTGACTCTTGATTGCAGCTCAGGTCGTGATCGAGCCCCACGCCAGGTTCCGCGCTAACAGTGTGGAGCCTGCTTGGGATTCTCTCTCTCTCCCCCTACCCCTCTCTCTCTCTTTCTCAAAATAAAGAAACAAACATAAAAATTTTTAAAAATAAAGTGCAAAGGATAAAATGTTGGTAGGTAATCTAAACTTAGGAAGGAGTAGGACAATTCACCAAGGCATAGAAAAGATGCTCACTACGTATTGTAAGTTACACGAGAAGAAGAAGAGGCAAGTGCAGTTGAAACCACTCCTGATAAACTGTTTTTTAAAGCTTTATTGGGATTCACATCCCATACAATTCACCTATTTAAAGTATATAATGCAATGGTTTTTAGTATATTTACAGTTTATATGTTTTTTACAAAGAAATGAAACACTCTTGATCCTCAATGTTCCTAATGTTTAAAATTATAGGGTGATAAATGTTTTGCTTTTTTTCCATTTTCCTATATAACAGATAGCAAGAGAGTTTTTAATGTTTTGATAAGATTTAAAAAAAATTTTTTTAATGTTTATTTTTGAGAGAGAGAGAGAGAGAGAGAGCAACAGCAGGGGAGGGGCAGAGAGAGAGGGAGACACAGAATCTGAAGCAGGCTCCAGGCTCCGAGCTGTCAACAGAGCCCGACGAGGGGCTCAAACCCACATACTGTGAGATCATGACCTGAGCCGAAGTCAGACGCTTAACCAACTGAGCCACCCGGGTGGCCCATTGACAAGATTTTTTTTAAAGGCATGGCACAATCATGATTTTTCCCATTGATTATTAAATTTGCTTTGCACAGTTTCAGCTTGCACGATCTTTTTTTTTTTTTAAAGATTTTATTATTAAGAAATTTCTACACCCGATGTGGGGCTCGAACATACAACCCCGAGATTAAGAGTTGCATGCTCCACCAACCAACCAGCCAGGCACCCGTGCATGGTCATTTTTAGGGCCCCGCACTACCGTGTGAAGTGAGCACTGTTTTACTTGCTGAGAGTGGAGCAGTAAAATGGGTAGACACCTCAGAACTATCAATGACCTGCTCTAAACTTAGCTATGTGACCTTGGGCAGGTTTTTAAAAATCTTGTTAAACTCCATGTTTCTCATATGTTAAAGGGTCACATAATTCACAAATTTGAAGATTGAAGGAGATAGTAGGCAAATGAAGAGCTAAAAACAGTGCTATGTCCATAAAGGGCTCAATAAATGTCAGCAATCATCATGTCTCTCTCTCCCAATATGTCTATCTGGGGACTTCTTTCTATGACACCAATCCTTGGCTTAGCCACAGTCTGCAAGTACGTGACCCATGTCCTTAGCAAAGACAGTCGGCATCCCCGAGCGCTACTTATTTCCCGGTTCAATTCTCTCATTTTCCAGGTTAAGGCTCTAAAGGAAAGAAAACACAACTGGGAGTCTCTAAGGCACGGCAGTATTTTCATGTGTCACACTGACACAAGTGAGTGAATAGTTATTATTATGAGCTAGAATTTTGGGATCCCTTGTTTCTTTAGGACTTGTAAAATGGCGGTAATAATAGTACCTACCTCTTAGGATTGTTATGAGAACAAAAGGAGTTGGTATTACAGTAGCGTTTGCTATTATTATTATTTAGGTATCTAGTTTACGTTCACTGATTTAGCACTGCTGTCCAACCTGTTATGCAAACCAGAAACCGAGGAGCCGTGCCGGACACCTTCCCTTAGCTTGCCTCCCTGTCACCAAGGCTCCACTCATTTTATTCTCTAACTATCTCTTGTGTCTCTAGCCTCATGGCCCTCAACCAAGAGACCACCATCTCTCCTGAAGTACAGCAGAAGCATCCAAACTAGGAGAAAGCTCTTGCTGTCTGTCCTCAAATCCATCCTCTACACTGCAGCCACATGGGTCTCTTCACTTACTAGATTAGATTACCTCATTTCTTAACACACTGTACCAGCTTCTAGTTGGACACAGGATGAAAGAAAAGAAAAACACCTCACTATGGTCCAAAGGCCTGCCTGAAGCTCTCTTACCAGCCCTCCGGGCCACCGACATGCCAAACCCTCTGCTCTCTCTTCTCCAGCCCCACAGACCTGCTTTCAGGCCCTGCGTTTCTTCCTGCCACAGAGTCTCTGCCTGGGGCGCAGCACCTGCTCAGCCCCAGACTGAGGCTGTGACACATTGTTGATTGCCTGCCCGTCAAGCATTTCCCACTTCTCCCTTGCCTCCAGAGCCCTGTTTTGTTTTGTTTTTTTTTTCCAAGTATGGAACAGTAATATGTTCCAGGAAGGAGGGCCCCAGCATATGAACCATGATTGTTCTAAGTCAATCATGGAAAATGGTCCCACGTCCCTTTATCAGTGATTAGTTTAGGGGGAGCATGTGATCCAGTTCTGACCAAAGGAACCCGAGGGGAAGTCTGCTGGGGGCTTCTGGCAAAGATTTTTCTTCTTGAGATAAAAAGGAGAATTACGCTTAGGAGTCCCCTTGTTCCTGCCTTTGAAGGAGGTTGAGAACGTGATAGGCATCTTGTTACCATGTGAAGGAAGAGAAGAGCACTGGAATGAGCTGACCCAGAGCCCTGACGTCCTGGGGCTGCTGCATTAGCTAGCCCAGGACCCACCTACCTGTGCACTTTGGACATGGGACAATAAACGTCCTTTGTTGTCTAAGCCTCTTGTGGCTGGGGACATTCTGTTACTAGAAGCACACAGCATCCAAACAATAATCGGACCCTTCATTACCAGGCCAAATCTCCATCTTGCACTATTTTAGCACCATGTATTTGAATTTTTGACTTTTTTACTGAGATAAAATTCACGTAATCTAAAATTCACCATTTTAACCATTTTAAAGTATACAATTCAGTCTAAATAAACATTGTATCACTACTATCTAACCACAAAACATTTCCATCACCCCCAAAAGAAAGGCCACATTCAGTAGCTATCACTCCCCAAATGTAAAAAGCCAAATATTATACGATTCCATTAACAGAAACTACCCAGAATAGGTAAAGCAGAGACAGGGAGACAGAAAGCAGATCCGTGGTTGATAAGGGCTGGAATGATGGAAGAATGGGGAGTGACAGCTTAATAGATACGAACTTTCCCTTTGGGGTGACAAAAAGGTTCTGGAACTAGATGGGGGTGGTGTTTGCACAACATCATGAATGCACTTAATGCCAGTGAATCGTACCATTTAAAATGGTAAATTTTGGGGGTGCCTGGGTGGCTCAGTTGGTTAAGCATTCAACTCTTGATTTTGGCTCAGGTCATGATCTCACAGTTTGTGAGTTCAAGCCCCACGTCGGGCTCTGCAATGACAGTGTGGAACCTGCTTGCAAATCTCTCTCTCTCCCTCTCTCCCTGCCCCAACCGCCCTCGCTCGCTCACACGTGCTCGCTCTCTCTTTCAAAATAAATCAACAATAAAATGATAAAATGGTAAATTTTACATTGTGTGTATCTTGTTACAGTGAAAAACATGTATGATCCTTTCTTCTTGGAGTACAAGGCCAGAGGCTTTTTTTAATTGTTGTTTCTAATATCTAAATCTCAATTCCTTACTTGCATGTAATCTTGCAGGGTGACAATATCAATTTCATCAGTTATTTTGAACTTCTGGAAAAAACGTTCCTCTTCCATAACTTGATGACAAAATCTCCTTTTCCCCATTATTTTGCAAGCATCGGCCACTGCCTATAAAGAGAATAGAAAATAGACTTTTAAAACAGTAGTATAATAGCAGTAATTACCAGTGCACAATTCACATGTTGTTTCTGACAAACACATCAAATGTTGTTCCTTCCTTCTGGCAGCTTGCTGGTCAATAAAAATACTGTATTTACAAAGAAAAGACTGTATAGGAATTTTTAAACCACTTAAAATTTGTTTCCATAACCATGTCTACATAGTTTTAAAATGTAGGTGGAGCAGTAATGAGTTTACAATTCTCAGAGAAACATGGTTTTTTTTTTAATCTGTTTTCCCCCCTCAAAAAAATCCCATTCTTTTCCCTTAAAAAAACAAAACAAAACAAAACAAATCTCTAACGTCACTCATGCTGTCAGGGCAAAGAAAACGTCCTTGGTTGTTACATAGGTCGCCCTGGGAACTGCTCTGAAAGGTGTCACCGGGTGCCTCTCTTTCATGTGTTAGCTAATCCCTCACCCCCAAATGGAAACAGGGACGTTTCAGATTGCTTAGACTTCCCTCTGTTTCACACTTCATTCTCAGGGGCCAGAGAGTAGCAAAGCAGTTTTTTTTCGGTCCGAAGTGTCAGCATTTTATACTCAAGGAAAGCACCTGAGAGGGTAGAGGTACAGGAATGACAGTAAGTGCGGAGGACCAGATCCCATCCAGCCCTATTTGCACCGTACCCTTCCACATACACCCATCCTTTGCTAAGCGCTATACATAGACTGTGAGTAGAGACTTAAGTACTCCCCACCCTTGTTCCCACCCCCCATAAGTATGTGCTGACTCTTCTAACACATATTTATATTACATATCTATGCTTCTGGCCACAAAGCATATGCTTATGAGAAGGGAGACTGGTGTAGATGAAAATCCAAATATCTTTAGATTCCAGATTAGTCTCTCTTTTCCTTTGTATCTCAGAATGTGTATTTGTGAAAGCATGGGAACTCCGTGTTATAAGGCTGATAGGAGGCTGGCTGAGACGAGATCGAAATTTGGAATCTCTGTTCTTTTTTACTTAACATACAATGTAACAATGAGGCTGAATGTATTTCCCATTTCAATTTTCACTTTTGTTATTAAGAATATTGCTTTTTAAGTTTTTCTAATTCCAAAGCTTAAAACACAGACACATATGGAAAAGGAAAGAATATTCAAATGGTTGTAGTTTTATTCCTAATGCGCTACCTGCAAGGGACAGAAACAGCTTATGTGATGGAACCTTCCTTTAGGCAGATCATCTTTGTTTTCCATTTCATTAGTTTCTTTATACACTATGCCTCTAAAGAGAAGGCAGTATTGGCACGTATCTCCATTATGCTTTCTTGCAATTAATTTCCTGTGGGTTCTCATTAACCATCCTCACAATGATACTAGAGGTAAAAGCAAATAAATTGTACAGTGAACAAGTCTGAAAGCCATATAATTTCTGCTCTGAGGATTTCTTTAGATATAACTATATTTTACTTTAGCTCAAGTTACTTGGTAAGGGTATTTCTTGCCAGTTCTTCCCCACTCTACTCCACTCAGCCACCACCCACAATCCCTCCCAGCCCTGGTTTCCTTATTTGCACAGCGCCTCAGCTGTGTGGCTCAGCTGTGTCGGGCCCAGCCCAGTATCCAGCCAAAAAAACCCTATGCCTGGCAGCGCAGGGCAGGCTCGCTGCCCACTTGTGACAGGGGTTTGAAAAAAGTTTGCCCTCCGACGGCCAGGATGTTCTTTCTCAGGCATCTGCCGCGTAAGGCCAGATTCGGGAAAGTACTTCTGGGTAGGAAGGGATGGGAGAGAAGAGCCCAGACCCAGGTGAAGGGGAAGGGCGGAAACTGGGCAAGAAGCCCAGGACAGCAGCCAATCAGACTAGAATTCAAGAGGCAGGTTCCATTCTTAGTGGGTGACTCAAAAGGCCCAAGAGGGGCATCTCTAAATGTGACACCTCCCCTGATACCTGGCATCACTGTGGCTCAGAAGCCCCCACAGCCCTGCCGCTGGCCCAGATCCACACCTGCGCTTGTCAAGTTACTCTGCTATCTGAAGTCACTTCCCCGCCCGCCTGGAAATTGACACTCTCGAAACTAGCAAAAGCTGGCATCCCTGCACGGGAACCGTGTTTCTGGTTTGGAGCAGTACAGTGATATACAGGCTCAGAATTAATAAAACCACCACAACCGCTGGTGTTGTTTCAACCTCAAAGTGCGCACAGGGCAGCGGACAGACTGAGAATATGCAAGCCTCAGCTCTGCCCCTGACAAGCCCCTCCAAGTTGCAGCTTCCTTGCAGTCAGAATGGGAGTAACATGCACCTCACCAGAGTTATCAGGGGGCCGTGGAAGAGAACACATTTAGCAGGCCTCCTGACTCAAGATTGGTTAAGAACGCAGGCTCTGGAGTCAGGATTACTGGGTCTTGATAACGGTTCCTTCGCTTTCTAGATGTGGGACCTTTGGCAAGTTACTTAGTCTTTTATTTTTTATTTTTTTATTTAAAAAATTTTTTTTTCAACGTTTATTTATTTTTTGGGGACAGAGAGAGACAGAGCATGAACGGGGGAGGGGCAGAGAGAGAGGGAGACACAGAATCGGAAACAGGCTCCAGGCTCTGAGCCATCAGCCCAGAGCCTGACGCGGGGCTCGAACCCACGGACCGCGAGATCGTGACCTGGCTGAAGTCGGACGCTTAACCGACTGCGCCACCCAGGCGCCCCTATAGTTACTTAGTCTTTTAAAACTGAGGATGACAACAGGCTGTACATTCTAGAGTTTATGAGAATGCAATGATAATGCACACGAAATGTTTAACATAGTACTTGATAGTGCTCAATAAGGGCAGCTAATATTAATAATAATGTTTTTCCTTTTTACCTAAATGCCCAATCCTCAAAAAGAACAGGGATCTTCAGTTGAAACTAATGGTTGCTGGATATTAATGTGTGAGAACAGGCAATTACTCAGAGGCATTCCAGGCCATGGTGTGTGCAGCGGGCAACTTTAGTGCTTGTCAAACTCCATTGTACGTAGGGTCATCTGGGGGGGGGGG